GGAGCCGGATGAAGAGAAAATCTACTTCGAGCTGGTGTACTTGGTGACAGCCTTGGTTCCTTCCGAGACGGCGTGCTTGGCCAATTCACCGGGGAGGAGGAGCCTGACAGCAGTCTGGATCTCCCGGGAGGTGATGGTGGACCTCTTGTTGTAGTGGGAGAGACGGCTAGCTTCGGCGGCGATACGCTCGAAGATGTCGTTGACGAAGGAGTTCATGATAGACATAGCCTTGGAGGAAACTCCGGTGTCGGGGTGAACTTGCTTCAAGACTTTGTAGATGTAGATGGCGTAGGATTCCTTCCTCCTGCGCTTCTTCTTCTTGTCACCCTTGGTGATGTTCTTCTGGGCCTTGCCCGCTTTCTTCACTGCCTTACCACTTGCTTTCGGTGCCATTGCGTCACTCTGTTCGATCTGCAAACGAATGACTGCCCGACCTCGGCTCGGGTTTTTATATACGACGGGCCGCCTCGCTGCGCCCAATCCCGAGCGGTCTAGCCGGCTCGCGGTGGGGCGCCAGGTGCTTGCCCATTTCCCCTCTCTACTCTTTTCTCCTCTCCGGTGGCGGGCTCGTATAATATTCCGTTGTACGTTCAGCGCAGACCGCTCAGTCGTAGAGTTCATTACAAATTCCGTATTTAAGGTTCTCATGCGCTACCTTCCCTATCATGAGTACCTCAGCCCGGCGATTACTTTCGCTGCGGACGTTCCGTTCTATGCCGTAAACTGTCCCGGAGTTGATCTGCTCAGCCCGAAAAATTCATTCAAAATTTTTCGAAGACTGACCGGGACGCATTCAGCAAAAAGGAACCAGCGCGATTACAGTGCTTTCAAAATCGTGCAACTTCTTCTTTACTTTTAAAAATACTCAGTAAATGTACAGCTTTAAAATTCACATAATTATTTTCCCTTAAAATCATCAATTTTTTTTTGGTTGGAAACGAAAACTATTTATTGCGCTGGTTCCTTTTTTACTAAATGCGATCCGGTTAATGTACCTTTGTTGCGGACGTTTCGTTCTACGCCGTAAACTGTCCCGGAGTTGGTCTGCTCAGCTCAAAAAAATCATTAATTCCTCAAGTGAGTTTACGGTTAAAATTTCAACATTAAATAATTTATTGTGAAAACTCCCGTCAGATCCATAGAGCACATATAAACCGAGTTCATGAGAAAGGAACCAACCCACATCTTTGAAAAAATCGAGTTGAGGATGTTTTTGAGTTCCTCTAGTTTTACATTTTCTTCTGCCAAAAATTCAAAGTCGAAAAAAAAATATTAGTTTGTGAAATGAGGCGTTAAAGTTTACTTTCTACACCGAGTCTTTTGGAGGAATAACTCGAAATCCAAGCCAGGACCAATCTGCAGTTTCTAGATCTTTGGTAGTGAATGCTGATTACTGATTATTCCGGTTCAAACCTTGAAAATCACTGGTCTAAACATGCCTTCAGAAGAACAGAAAAACGTTGCGAAACTAGGAATTTGAAATGAAAAGTTAACTTTCATACCAGTAAATGAAGATCTTTCTTATCCTGTGTCCAAAGTTTTACCGTTCTCAAAGTTGATTTTTAAATTTCCTCAAGGAAAAAAATTGTCCATGGACGATTTTAGAAACAACGCTCAAAGACCGTCGGTTGATTGATTGTATGTACAGTGCAGTGCAGCAGTGAGTGGAAACACGTACACGTACAAGTTAGGTTGCTATATTTACGGCAGAGAGTATAGAAGGTTAGAGCCCGACTGAATTGAAACAGAAGTTGAGCCGTGAGCAAGCAGTTGCGTACGTTGGCGCGAGAGAGCGCGGCGAGCGGGAATCCCATACCACTGCGCGCTGATTGGTTAAGCGAGAGTTGCGGTTGCGGACGGACGATGACGATGTATAAAAAATTGCCTATGTGGAGGTGGTCCGGCAGCAACATACCCGCCGCTAGTCACTGGAAAAGAGTAGAAAATAGTAGTTGCGTACGTTGCCAGCGAGCGCTTCTTTTTCAATTACCTAGCATTGAGTGAGGCCCTTACTAACCATCCTTTCTATAACACTCTGATTTACGGAGTGCACATTATTTATTCTAATACGTAAGTTGCTCGGGAATTTGGTGGCCCTGAAAAGGGCCGTTTTAAAGTGAAGAGACGACTGGAGGGAGACAGCTTATGCCTTCTTCTCGGTCTTCTTGGGCAGAAGCACAGCCTGAATGTTGGGCAAAACACCTCCTTGGGCGATGGTGACGCCAGAGAGGAGCTTGTTCAGTTCCTCGTCATTACGGATGGCCAACTGCAAGTGACGGGGGATGATCCTGGTCTTCTTGTTATCACGGGCGGCGTTACCGGCCAACTCGAGAACTTCAGCGGCCAAGTATTCCATAACGGCAGCCAGGTAGACTGGCGCTCCGGCACCAACACGCTCAGCGTAGTTACCCTTGCGGAGCAGACGGTGGATACGTCCGACGGGGAATTGGAGTCCAGCGCGGGATGAACGGGTCTTGGACTTGCCCTTAGTCTTGCCTCCTTTACCTCTTCCAGACATGTTGAATGTTGCGTTTGGATCTGCTGCGTGTCAAGAGAGCGAAACGAATGACCACGGGGGCTCAAGCTTGGGTATTTATACCTGCGCGACTGCCTTCCGGCAGCCAATGGGAGGAGCGCGGCTAGCAACTTCGATCGTGTGAGGGGTCGCCACAGCAGGCGCGTCACACAGGTCCTTGTTCCTCGACGTTTCAACGAGCACAGCTGCTCGCCTCCTCATAACTTATTCCATTTAATTGAACAGAGGCTTTGCGCACATCACGGAATAGAATCCGGACGAAAATGAAATGATGAATGAACCATAGTGAATGAACTGAAATTGAAGCCGACCTAGTTGCGGTACTCGTTCGATTTCTGAGTTCAGTCCTTTGGTAAGGTGAGTCACTGCCTCATGAGTCCATCTATACAGTTAAATCCGCACAATTTCCCCCTAACATTTAAATTTAATTTCTGATTTCAGAGCGTAGCAACTTAGTAAACTCCACCTGGGAGAGAAAGAGAGATAATCTTGATGTGTTGCATCAATTTGATTTCTGAACGTCTAAGCGGAGAGGTTAGGCGCGGAAGTGAAATGGTTGCATTTGATACTCAATAAGCATAAACCTTTCTTGAACCAAATAATTAGAATTTCTTAGACCACTTATATATCATCTAATAGCTTCCTTATGAGTATTGTAATTTGTAATGTAAGGCCGTCTACAAAATTGTATACATTCAGGGCGGAGAGCTCATGAGTTTTCAATGTATTGGGAACAATAACACATCAATCCACAAGCTCTTCTCGTTCCTTCCTCATTAAATGCTTCCCATTTATTTAAATGCTGATAGATAGATACGCAGATGGATAGAATTTATTGACGCATACAGCCTATAGTAAAAAAGCTCTGGCACAAGTCAAATTTACAATTTATACAACAATACACCGTATTCGATACGGGTTCGATGTGTCGTTTGGTTCAAAACAATAGAACATAACCTCAAACCAAACTGTAAGGATTTAAGTTGGAAAAGCTGAAAATGAGAAATTTCCTGACAATTTCACTTTGCATTGGCATTTGGTAGTGTGGTACTCAAAAGAATAAAAAATCTGTCACAAAAGACCCGTTCTTTCAGATTTCTGAATTTACTTCTGAGGCTATGTTTATGTTTTGCACCAATCGATATCGATACAATCTCACCCGTTTGATGTATCGAATACGATCAATTACAACAATTTAAACAAAAGGAATTACACAGGTTCTTCGACAAATTCTTTTAGACTACAATAGGCCTTATATTTGAGTTTTATTTTCAATTGGTTAAGGAATATGTTCAATTCGCTGCGCAAGGTGTTGAAAATCGTTATCGCTTGATATTTCATTAATTTACTCTCCCTAGTTGCTACAATATTATTGTTCATGAAGCAATGTCTGGTGCCATATCCATGATATCCATGATTAGGGTTCATTCTGTCAATCGTTAGAATTTCAGTACGTATACCTTCATTGATAGTCTCATAAATGTACAGGGAAGGAACCCTCAAAATATCCTTTTCTGAAAATAAAGTTCTACAATGATAATTGTAAGGTTTGTTACAATTACAAATAATTCTGATAATTTTCTTTTGTAAGAGGAAGACATCGTCCAACTTGGGGAACATCCCCAGGTAGGTAGTTATCCCATGTTTCAATACGGAGTTAAATAATAATAATCTGAACAATTGAGCAAATCTGAAACAAGTCTGGTTAGTCTTCTGATTGGATAGAGGGGTTTTTGAATTTTTTTTAATAACATACTGAACATGATCCTGCCAATTTAAATTCTTTTTGAACTTTTAAGGACTCTGCATTTTATGACATACTGAAGATTTCCAGACAAATGTTTGTTCAAAAGCTGAACATTGTTGTAAATGCCATCGGGTGATGTACATTTCTACTGAGAATTCTTACTTGCAGGAGAGACGAATTATTTCGTATGATATTACATTACGGAACTAATCAGAATTTCAAGCTACGTAAGAACATTTGGACTACATTTTGCAATGAGGAACTATAAATTTTAGCCCGGTTTAAAAACAGCGTATGTGCCATTGGTTTCCCCATGCACAAAAGTGTTTTTTTCAGATGAGCCAGAATTGATAGTTCCAAATTGCAAAATTCAGTCCATTCGACTGTCGGTCTAGGCCACAGGCATTTTGTCGAGTTAGTACTACTTTATTTACGATTTGATTACTGTTTGGGCGATTTTACTTACTATTCGCCCGCGATGTACTTAAAACCCCCCGCCGCTCGCAGGATTACCGGTTTTCAAATCGAGCGCCACTGCGAAAGGCTCCCATTGGCCGCTGTTCGACTGGGGAGCGAAATTGGCGGGAAATTCTACTATAAATACTCGGAGCACCCTCCATGCGCCAATATTCCGTTGATTCAGTCTGAGTCGTCGCTCGCACTCGCACCGTGAACCATGGCACGTACCAAGCAAACCGCTCGCAAGTCCACCGGAGGTAAGGCCCCTCGTAAACAATTGGCCACCAAAGCCGCCCGCAAGAGCGCACCCGCCACCGGTGGCGTCAAGAAACCTCACCGTTACAGGCCCGGAACCGTCGCCCTGCGTGAAATCCGTCGTTACCAGAAGAGCACCGAGCTTCTTATCCGCAAGCTGCCCTTCCAGCGTCTCGTCCGTGAAATCGCTCAGGACTTCAAGACCGACCTCCGTTTCCAGAGCTCAGCCGTCCTCGCCCTTCAGGAAGCTAGCGAAGCTTACCTTGTAGGTCTCTTCGAAGACACCAACTTGTGTGCCATCCACGCCAAGCGTGTCACCATCATGCCCAAGGACATTCAACTGGCTCGCCGCATCCGTGGAGAACGTGCCTAAGCGCTTTCACTGTCCGTGCATCATTTTAAAACGGCCCTTTTCAGGGCCACCAAACCGCAGAGCAACCCCGCGCCGCTACAGAGGGGCCTTAAGTGTAAGTCCGCACCTCGGCAATGCACGTGAATTCCAAAGCCCGATCTGATATCTAGGCGACGTAAATTCGAATAAGTGAATTTTTGAATAAATTTTAAATCTATAATTTTTGTGGGCCTGCAAAAACTTTGAGGAGACAAAATTTGTTCGTGCTAAAAAAGTCAAAATGATCAAATAAAATGCCTCCGCCCTTGAAAGTTTCACCTTTCACTTATCAGTAAAAAATTTCTGGAACTCCTCCATCCGTCAACGGTTGCGCCGCCGCCTACTAGTGCAGGACCTGAAGTGCCGGAAATCCATGAATATGACCCTCGGCTTATAACTTATGAGACTTGTCAATGGCACCCTCACATTAAAGTGATCTACGTTCTCCCTTTTAATTTTTATTAAAACATTATACAATTAAAAATCTCAATTATTAGCGGTGCAGCCGGACCTTTCTATCGAGGATATGTGTTTTTTAGAGACGAATAGGCACCACGGAAAACAAAGAAATTCGGCACCGACTAGATGTCCAGATTTTCTTTTAAAAAATTGTTTTATTTTATTTTTTTTTATTATTTTTTACTGAATATCCCTTCAAATCGTCGTTCTAAGTGCAGATCGCGTCGGAGGAGTCCCGGGTTGATATGAAAAAAATCTCGAGCGGAAGTCGGCGCCGATTTTTTTAATTTTTCGTGCGTATGTGGTGTTTTACATTGAAAAATAAGGTTCGAAATTTTACGGCAAAAAAATGGGGGTTTTGCTTTCTGGTGTGTTTCCGTGTTACTTTCCATGCTCAGCCCTTGAAAATATGAGAGATGAGACTCATATTTTTCACAGCTTCGCGAAATTTCATGATATGACTCACAAAAATTTCCGATCTTTCAATTTTGCATTTCAGTTCAATGGGAACCCCGCCCGCCTCTCGAACGACCGATCCGCAATGTGTTACGTTTTTTCGTAGGCCACCACCAAACTACAGTTTCTATATGTACCGTTATCCGTGTGCAATGTAAATAAAAATGTTTTCATCAAAAGCACATTTGAAGCACATATTACATGTGGGGAGAGCGTTTTTCTCGTTAATTTTTTCGGAGGCAAATCATTGTAATTATCCCTCGCATGGATCCATCTTCTAAGCTTAATGGTCAAATTTTACTGGAGAGTTGTCAAAAATGTCGTCTGAAATGGGGGACTCTCTAAAATGGACGGATCTCTTCAAACTTCCCTTAATTCGAATGCAAACCTTAGGCGACTTCGGGAGCTGTTCCCGGTTAGGAATGATTCGAGGATTTACAATTGCGAGCACATTTTTTGGCGAATCGACACCAAATGTGAGAAAGGAAAGCCATTTTAAGGAAGCAGTACGATCCTACGAACTGTCGGATCACGCACGCAGCATTTAAAAATCGCGCTTGTCGAAAGAGACTCCCTCTGGAAGTGTACAGCACAATCTACCGACCGTGCAGCCCAGCGCTCCGTGCGGCTGTTTGGCGCAGTTATTGCTGAGGGCATTTTGTAGCATGTGCACGACGACTCGATCTTTTCGATCTACTTCTTGTTTCGATTTCTGATTTATTTTTTGTAATTTAATCTGTTCGAAGCTACGGTTTCATCATGTTTTTCGTAGAGAAATTCAATTGTTCAGTCAAAAAAGCGAAAAAATTTATCTTGAAAAACTTTGAAGCATCAAAACAAGCCGAATAAATTTGCAACACTCCCGGTGGAGGAAAGAGTTTCTCTGTACACGGGTATCCAGTAGTGACTCTCCTACCCCCATACTTACCTGGCGTGGGGGCTACCGTGATCAAGAAGGCGGTTCCCCCAGGGCGAGGCCCTTCCATTGCACTCCGGTTGGGCTGACCCCTGCGAGTATCTCAAATGTAGATACCTCGGGCGCGTAATTTTTGGGAGTCGGGACTGCGTTCGCGCTGTCCCGGATACACGAACTCATTTCCCTAGCAGAGGGAATTCGGTCCATACGTGTGACGTAGCTTCATTAGACGCAGATCCGACGCGACGATCCGATCTTTTCCGCCGATCAAAACTTTCAAAATTAGCCAATCGAATATGCTCAAATTGTCGCGCGACGATCTTGAATCGGCTT